TCCAGTTGTCCAACTTTAACCTGGTCTAAAGTCCAGCGCAGAGTGTGTTAGTTATGCGACTATGCAGGTTCACACCAGTGTTCACACCAGACCCAGGAAGCATGGATAAACTGTGGTATTCGCACGTAAAATAGATGCATGAACATTTTGGGCCCTATCATACACCTGGCGCAATGCGTGATGCAATTGTTGTTTGCTAGTTTCAGCTTGGCGCAAGAGTCGTTTTGACGTTTTGCACCACACTGTTTAAATAGCAAATGCATTTGCGCTCATATGTACACCCATATGTGTTCTGGTCTACATATTATTAAACATATTATTTTCATGCAAACATAAATATAAAAACCATGTTTATTTATAACGGTTTGCTTTTGTATTTTGTCATTATTATTAGTAGTATTTATTATATGCATATTTATATTTGTTTTATTTAAAAAAAAAAAAAAGCTTAGATTTGCCCACCTGTCAGGTTTTAGACCATTTGGGGCACAGCATGTGTATTAGGATATAACTCAGCTTTTTGACCACACTTCGTTATTATTGTTCATTTATTCGTTTGTGTAAAATCAGAACGGAATTTAGAAATAGTTTTGAAACAAATCTTTGCACTTAACAAACAAAATTAATCATGTAAGCCAATGGATGTCTGTGCATACAATTCCTTATGCACGAGAGTGAAAGTGAAAGTAAAGAATGAGGAGGCTCATCTCTCATTCTCGCGTTGCAGAAGCTCTGTTTAACTGTTTTCTAGCTAGTGAAATGCTCAGTTTTTCCACCTGCAAAGTCCGCCATGTAAATAGCAAATGCGCTTTGGCACAAAGCAACTGACTCTTAAAGGAAATGGGAGATGAGACTCTGATTGGTTTATTCTCAAAACACACATTACGAGAATAAGCTCAACCCTGTTAGACCATGCGCCATGGCGCAAAATGGATTTTTCCATCCTTAAAATAGCAAAAGTGGATTCTGACACGCCCTTAATGCTTTTGCGCCGTGTGCTTTGGATCGTCAAAATAGAGCCCTTTGAGTCCACTCGCTTCATTCGTGGATCAAATCCGCGTGTCAAATTCACTTAACAACAGACGTGGATTCGGGTGATGGGCAGGGCTTCTGTCTGCCCGCTGACTAAGGCTTCGTTGCTAAATGACTAACATGGATTTTATTGAGAGAATAACATTGTTTAAGTGATTTATGAAGTTTAAAAAAAACAGCATTGATTCATTTGGAGCCATGTCTGAGTCCACTAGATCCTTTCAGAGGTGCACCCAGCCTGTGTGTTTGTGAACTCCTCCAGAAACTTAACCTGGATGATGGAAGCTTTTAGCGGTGCTTCCGACTGAGCCGAGCCCAGTTTGATGACCTGTTGTCCGGTGTCGGCAGGAGTATTTCCCCCAGGATACCAACAACAGGTGCTGCGTCATAAGCATGCCACAAGAGTTCCGACAAACTTAAGCGATTCACACATTGTGTCAATCACTCAAAATGCTCAACTCGTGCCGCTTCATTAGCACAAATCGCGTCATTCGCGCCTATCGCGCCATAGGATGTCTATTTAGGATGTTAGGATGTAAATCACTCGTGATTGACGCTTGTTCTGCGTCTGGTGTGATCGCAGCATCACACATTGCTTATGGGGCATAAGAACAGGACATGTGTTTGGATATAATGTGTTTTTTTTCTACATACATCATAATTTTTATTAATTTATTTGTTTGCTGGAAATTAGAACTGAATTTAGAAATGGTTTTGAAACAAATCTTTGCACTTAAAAGCAATTATATATGTAGGCTAATGGATGTCTTTAGTAGACTGCAGACAACACCGTTTCCTTACTTCACCAAAGTGAAGGAGTAAAGAGTAAAAGTAAAGTAAAGAGTAAGTAAAGAGGCTGAATGGAGGAGGCTCATTCTTTATCCTCACGCTGCAGATGCTCTGTTTAACTGTTTTCTTGCTAGAAGCGTTCAGTTTTTCCACATACAAAGTCGCCATGTAAATAGTGAATGCGCTATGAAGCGACGCAGCTGAATCTTCAAGGGAATGTGAGATGAGACTCTGATTGGTTTAATGCATGTTATGCTCCAAACACACCCATAACTCATTAAAAGAATAAACAACCCTGTAGACCATGCGCAGAACATATACATATATATATATTGATGTCACTTTTCCCAATTTTTCAAGGTTAAAAGTTGTTGGAAGAAAGATTAAAGTGCCATAATGTAATAATGAAATGGAGAAAAATAAAAATATGAATCAGAAAATACAGAAAATTGCTAACTTACAGATATTTTTAACCTTTACCTTCAAAATGGCATAAAAAAATCAATGACACGACTTGGATGTTGTGTTTGCGAACACTGTTAAACATCTGAAATGTTTTGCTCATTGTAAAATCCCTCAGCTAAAGTCTGTCATCACAGTGGTTCAGTATTATTCCTATTATATCCTTCAGCTTAGTCTCTGATTTATCAAAGGTCAACTCACAACGGAATGAACCACCAACTATTTTATCATATGTTTTAAACAGCAGATGCCCTTCCACCCACAACCCAGTACTGGGAAACACCCATGCACACTCACATTCACACACACACACTCATACACTATGGCCAATTTAGTTAATTCAATTCACCTATAGCGCAACCAATTCATCCAGAGGAAACCCCTGCCAACACAGTGAGAACATGCAAACTCCACACAGGAATACCTACTGACCCAGCTGAGACTTGAACCAGTGTTCTTCTTGCTGTGAGATGACTGATTCAGTATTAGCATTATTATTATTATTATTATATAATTTTTCCCTCCAGAACTGTCTTGAGCATCTGTCTGCACTCCAGAAGAGCATCTCACGCCTCCAATGTGTCTTGTCCTCAGAGGCACAATTAATTTATTGAAATAGAAGAAAAAAAGGCCCGCAGTGGTTTCTCCTACTGCTTTAAACTGGTTTGGTGCCAGTTTATGGGGAGATGACTATTTTGTTCTCTTTGACTCATTGGATGGAAACGCTGCTTTATTCACCGTCGTATGTTATATTCCAGATTTCATTTACAAAGATTCACTTCCAGCATCTTTGAATGGAAAAACAGCTAGTGTTGTCATCTGTAGAGCCGTTTATAGCTCAAATGCACTCATTTCATAATTGAGATTTCATAACTGATTAACTTCACATGGTCGCTGACCTGAATCATTAACACTGAACTGAACTAAGCTGAATAATCACATTGTTGTCTTGTTAGAGCTACTTAACAGCAAATTATCCTTTCTGATTATCGGGTGGCATTGTTGCTTGTTATTTTCACATCCATTACTTTGAAGCTGCTTCAAAACAACCTGTATTATATTAGGAACTATTAAATATGATATATAAATTTGAACTTAAAAGGACTGTTCACCCAAAAGGGAAAATTCAGCTGTTTATTCACCCCTCACTTCGTTGAGCTTCTTCTGTTGAACACAAAAGAAGATATTTTGAAAAATGCTGGAAATCGGCACAATTTCCATAGTATTTTAATATACATATCAGTTACATGCATTTTGCAAAACAACTTTATAAACGTTCAAGGTTTGGAAACACTTGAGAGTGAATAAATGGTGGAAAAAATTATAATTGTTGGGTCAATTTAAAGTTGCCATAAAATCAGAATTTATTCTTCGTATTTTTATATATTGGTGCTTGTTATAAATTATGAGTCTGTGCATGTCATTATTTTGTCAAAATGAATATGCCCTCATAAACATTAATCAAATACCATACTTTCCCTCCCCCTCGAAACAACTTCACTTAGTCATTTAGGCCAAGACTATCAGTCATTTAGTGTAAGACTATCAGTCATTTAGGGTGGGGCTATTGGTAATTTAGGGCAGGCTATAAGTCGTTTTGGGCGGGGCTATTATTAATTTAGAGGGGGAATATAAATCCTTTAGAGTGGGGCTATTAGTAATTTAGGACTGAAACATATATCAGTCATTTAGGGCAGGACTATCAGTCATTTATGGGGGGGGTACTATTGGTAATTTAGGGCGTAACTATAACTCATTTAGGGCGGGGCTATTAGAAAATTAGGGCAGGACCATAAGTCACTTAGGGCGGGGCTATTTTTAATTTTATGGTGGGCTATAAATAATTATTGGCAGGACTATCAGTCCTTCAGGGTGGGAATAATAGTATTTTAGGGCGGGCTATACATAATTTAGGTTGGGACTATCGGTCCTTTAGGGCAGGGCTATCAGTAATTTAGGACTGGACTATCAGTCCTTTTGGGTGGGGTTATAAGAAATTTAGGGTGGGGCTATTAGTAATTTTATGGCAAGCTATACGTAATTTAGGGCAGGGCTCTCAGTCCTTTAAGGCAGGGCTAAAAATAATTTAGGGTGGAGCTAAAAGTCATTTAGGGTGGGGTTATTAGAAATTTAGGGTGGGGCTATTTGTAACTTAGGGTAGGACTATCAGCTCTTTAGGGCAAAGCTTATCAGTGAGTGTCACATTTCTGCTATGAATTTATCCATTCATCAGTCTTTCTTCATTGTTTGCAACACTCGTCTTTCAACGATACAATCAGTTCCCAAGGAATGAAATCAAGCACCACCCTACATTTCTTCTAATTTCAGGACCATTTCAAGAGGATTTTTACCCAATGATTTTTTGACAGGGCTAGTCATGAAAAATTGAGAAAAGAGATTGTCATGATAAATGTTACAGTACAACAGATTAAATCGAAAGCAAAAACAAACATCATTTTTTCAATGCATATATTCCAATGTATACTACGTTTCCCTTTTCTTTTGTGGTTGTTACACTAGCGAAATGTGATGCTGAAGCTGTGAAATACTGTCAAATTAAAATTCACTCAAAATTTGTAATTAGTAAGAGAGCGAGCAGCACCTTATAATATACTGTATGTGACATTTGAATATTGAAGGATTGATGCAATATTTTCTTGTTAAAAATAAATGTTGTACAGTGCATGTTTATGACAAGAAATGTGTTTTGTTGACAGGGATATACTGCGTCAGGGCGGCTCGGCGGTGGACGCAGCCATCGCAGCACTTCTGTGCACTGGACTGGTCAACCCGCAGAGCATGGGCTTGGGCGGAGGCTCCATCTTTACCATTATGGACAACACAGGTATAGTATTACTGAACATTCAACCTCCCGAATTTCAGTAAAAATTGCATTAGTCACATGTTGTAATCACTGCTTTTTCATAAGTAATATACTAATACACATGCTATTCCTTCCCTAGCTATTTACATTCACAGATCCATGTGTGTGTGTGTGTGTGTGTGTGTGTGTGTTTTGTTAAAAGAACACTCCACATTTTTTGTCTTCAAGAATGAAACAGCTGACTTCTTTCAGTTGATCTCTTGTTCTGGCAGGGTCAATGTTAGCTTTGTTTAGCATAATGAATTAAATGGCTGGGTCAATAGTGGCTTAGCTTAGCATAATGAATTGAATGACGGAGACAATTTTAGCATAGCTTAGCATGATGGATTTAATCTGTTTCAAGGTGGCAACTGAAAACTGCAGATTCTCATGTGCTGTGTAATATCACTCCACCTAGTGCGGCAGCAGAGTTTCTTGACTACTATGCCTAAATGAGAGTATAGTCCCTCGAATATTGGCCTAGAATAAATTAACTACACAATTAACACTACAGAAAGCTTTAACCCTTTCACAGACACGATCACACCGGTGTGATCAGGCTGGGGAAGGGNNTAAGCTTTAGGGAGGGGAAATTGGGAGATAAATTATTACAAGCGAAAATTCGGGTAAGATCTAGCCTACCCAATTCACCTGTACCGCATGTCTTTGGACTTGTGGGGGAAACCGGAGAACCTGAAGGAAGCCCACGCCAACACGGGGAGAACATGCAAACTCCACACAGAAATGCCAACTGACCCAGCTGAGGCTCGAACTGGTAACCTTCTTGCTGTGAGGCAACAGTGCTAGCCACTGAGCCACCGTGCCACCCCATATGCAGGCTAATTCCAATTTTTTGTCAAATATGTTGCATACGTCATAAATTGTATGTACAATCCAAACATAAATTTGTATGTCATATATGTAATTTGCATATATTGCCTTATATCAGATTTCTATTTGGGGAAGGTGTCTTGAGTAAAGAATGTTGCACAAACTGAAAGCGATTCAACCTGTTTTGCAGAATACTGGTGTTAGGTTCAGCAAAAACCCCCATTGGAGTTATATATTTATGTTTATTTTGGCTCTGTGGAAAGTTTATTTCCCCTTACGCAAGCGAATGAGAGTACAATCCAGCATTCAAGATCACGGCTCACTGAACTTCATCAGAAATTTCAATGAAGACTAAACTGACTTGTTAGTTTATTCAGAATTTTGTTTGTTTTTTACAAATAAAGTTCTCTCTCTCTCTTTAAGGCAAAGTGAAAATCATCAGCTCAAGAGAAACAGTCCCGAAAGGAGTAAGAAGGGATTTGCTTAAAGATTGTCCAAGAGTATTGGCCATTGTCACAGGTAAATCTCCACCACATGAAAAAAGGGTAAAGCATTATCAGCCCCACATTTAGACTGGAAAGTAAACGTGTTGACATTCAACCTCTTAAAAATAAAGCTCACTTAATCATTAGCAGAAAACAACTCATTTTGCTTTTTTAAAATAATCTACAGAACTTCTTTTCAATTTTAAACAACTTTTATCAATTGGAAAGAAGATGTTAAAGGTTTTAACTGTAAAAATATCTGTAAATTAGCAGTTTTCCAATTCATCCAACAATTTTAAATCTTGAAAAGTTGGGAAAAGTGACTTTTATGAACATTTTTAATAGTTCAAAGTGATATGTTGTGTGGGTTTGTGTTCAATATCACTCTAGGCTAACAGTGTTGTATATTTTTATCATCAAAAGTTGACAGAACAAAGATCAACATCCTGTAATGCAATTCACAACTGTACAAAAACAAAAATAAAAATTCTCTGTAGTTTCTGTATTTAGTGATTCACAAGTGATTTCTAAGTTCGTCCAACATTTACTCATTAATAATAATACATAATAATTCCTTACATTAATAAAGCCCTTACCTAGACACTAAAAGTGCTTTACACACTGGGGGGAAATCTCATCCACAACCAGTGTGCAGCATCCACTTGGATGACGTGAGCGCCCCCTGCTGGTCTCACTAACACCACTTTCAGCAGCAACGTAGCTTTCCCATGTGGTCTCCCATCCAGGTACTGCTTAGTTTCAGTGGGCAACCATGTGAGAGTTGCAGACAGCTAGCTGCCGGCATTAATGAAATTGCGTAGTTAAGCTAATTGTGACAGTCTTACACTTATAAAGAGACGCACTGGATTGCAGGAGTTATCAAAACATAAACGTATTTATTTACAAAACACTCACTGGAGACACTGGAACATCGACACGCAGGAATCAAGGGGTGATGACAAATCATGACACTTCATTACCAGAATAGGAACGAACTAAACATAGAGGGCTCTATTTTGACAATCCATGTGCAAAGCGCAAATCCACTAAGGGTGCGTCAGAAACATCCCCTTTGCGTCACGGCGCATGGTCTAACAGGGTTAAGCTTATTCTCTTAATGAGTTATAGGTGTGTTTTGAGAATAAACCAGCATTTGCTATTTACATGGCGGACTTTTTAAGTGGAAAAACTGAACGCTTCACTAGAGAGTAAACAGTTAAACAGAGCATCTGCAGCACAAATATGAGAGAATGAGCCTCCTTATTCTTTACTTTCACTTTCACTCTCGTGGATAGGGAAAGGTGTTGTACACACAGACATCCATTAGCCTACAAAATTAATTCCGTTTATTAAGCTCAAAGATTTGTTTCAAAGCTATTTATAAATTCAGTACTAATTTCCAGCAAACAAATAAATGAACAATTATATCGAAGTGTGGTCAGAAAGCACCTCATGTGCTTTATTCAGTGTTAAATGAAAATAATATTAGTTTGAATGCCATCTTACATGACATTTACTGCTGTACTACTGAAAGCAGCTGCAGATCACATCAGATCTGGAAAATAAAACAAACCGTTTAAAATTTAACTTTAGAACTGGGACTCAGTGCAAGACAATACATATGTTAATGTTAAAGATTATAAATCTTGTTATTTTGTTGGAGTGCAGCGAGTGCACTATTCTGTGCGTGTGGTGCAAAATTAAATTGCATTAAATTGCTAAATTGCTTATCACCGCGTATTTCATTCATGTAGCGTGATGTTAGGACATGGGGTTACAAATGTAACCTGCTCACCTAATGTTTACGTTCATTATATTTGTTTGATATTTATTCATCGGGGTAAACCCCTTGAGATGTACCATCTCATTTTCAAGGGGGTCCCACAATTAATTACAATCACATAATAACAACACAAGAAAACAAAACATAACTTACACAACATCGAAAAAACATGACATAACATAAAAAAATAAAGCAAAAAAAAAAAATTAAAAAAGAAAAGAAAAGAAGGGATTTATATTATTTGCTAATTAATGAGAAAGAAATAGGAATTTCTTATAAGAAAAATAATATAAAATATATATAAAAAATAAAAAAAATACGAAAAAGAAATAAGAAATATTACAAAGAAAAAACGACAGAAACTCAGTTACCATGAACTAAACTGAACTGCTAATAAAACATGTTGTATGGTTTCTAAATGTCGTTTAAATGTAAAAGGTTTCATGCTCTCTTTACATATTCAGGTTCGTACTTGCGCTTCGACAAATTTGTTGCTATAATTAAATGAAATTTCTTCCCCATATTTGTAAAAGTCTCATGTGTATCCCATATTTTTACATCCAATTATTGACAGGTTGTATGGTGGTGCATCAAAACAAAATAACAAGTATGAGGCGTTTCTTTAAAAATGGTGCTTTAAAGCCAGGCCTTTTGCAGCCTGTTTGAACTTTAAAGTTCATATTATGTCATTATTTAATAATTAATAATATTAATAACCACTTCATGTGGAACTCTGAATCTGCGTCTCATTTCGGAGGCTGCTTCTGTCGCATTTTCGGTCATAGATGTATGCTTTGAGAGCCTTCCTGGCTGAATTAATGAAATACGCTGTTTTTCGTCAAGGCGACCGTGGTGCTGAAATGTAATTGGCTAAACTGGCAATGGGAGGGGGCAAAGGACCAAAACAAAGACAGCCGTTCCGGCATGTAACTCACTATTTTAAAGAAGAATATCTGACTTCAGCATTATTTTTCAGATAGACAAGTAGGTTCACTAAGCATGTTTCTTAAATATCTGCAAACATATAAAGGTATTGTTATGCTTTAGAAAAGTCAAAAACTTACATACAGCACCTTTAAAGGCTAATTAAGTCAGGCAAGTCATTGGACAACATTAATTGGTTTTGTAGACAATAAAAAAAAAAAAAACGTAAGAGGGCCCAAAATATTCACCTTAGCAGATTTTTAAATTGTAAACATTTTGTTAACTCAAAAACAAAAAAACTGAAGAAAAATATAATAAATACTTTGAAAAAATAAGCTTGTGATTCCCGGTTAAACATCACTTGAGAAATATTTTAAAAATAATAAAAATTTCACAGGAGGGTGAATAAATTTGCCTTCCTAAATCTTAAAACTTGGTTAACTGTAAAGATTTGTGTTGGGAAAACATGATATAAGTTAACTTATTAGCTTTTACAAATTTAAGTGGATTAAACATAAAACAATTAAATTGTCCCCCAAAACAACTGTGTTTGTGTTGATTCAGCTCAATTTAAAAAAGTAGTTTGAACAAACAGCAAATGTCACTTTTTTGAGTGTGGATAACATTGTGTGTTTCACTGAAGAAGGCAAGTGTTCGATGGCATGAGCGACTGATGACAACTTTATGTGGAATTCTAGATAGATTTTATCATCTCATGTAGGAGTATAATGCAGATACACAAATTACAATGGGCCATTGTGTTCATAAGAGGGGAATTCTGCTTTACAGGGAACTATACTTAAGTGGACTTGTTTTGCTTGTTTTCTTTTTCCTGCAAAACCGAAACGATGATACTGGCTATTGCTAAACGTGTTTGTCCGACTTAAAAGATTATTCTCCTGTTAACAAATCCTGCATAGATTTAGAAAATGTTCACACACTGTTCGTGCCCTAATGCAGGTTTAATTGTGCGTATTAATGCTAATTATGTATTGCACTGATATTTGTGTTTCCCAGAGTTGCTCCAAATAAAGTCTGGTTTCCTTCACAAGCGGAATAGTTTGTGTGTTGATGTGAATAAAAACGAAACCTCGCTCTGTTGGTCTTTTTGATGCAATAACGTCCACTGAAAGCAAAACTAGAGCTTTTTAATGCTGGGCTCTGTCTGATTTGGCAGTTGATGACAAATCTGATTGTGTAACATGTTAAAGCCAGAACATGAGCTGCGTTTGAGACACTTAAATCAGGGGTTTTCAACTGGTTTGGCCATGGGACCCACATTTTTACATGGTCATCAAGCCGCGACCCAATTTTTTAGAAGCTATAATACAGTTTTAGGAATTATAATTAATTTGTGTTTATTTGTTAACATACACAAGTACTGAGAGATAAATCATAAAAAAATCACCAAGACTCACAAATAAACAATATTTTAAAATGTATCAAATTATAGAAATATTGCAAAGTAAAAATGACAAAAACTGTAAACACTGGTTAGGGTAAGGAAAGGTTCATTTACCATGAGAGCCATCCTGACTCAATAATGAAATGCGCTGTTTTCCATCAACCAAAACAAAGACAGCCGTCTTTAAAAACTCACTTTTTTAAGAATATCTGACTTCAGCATTATTTTTCAGATAGACAAGAATGTTCACTAAGCATGTTTCTTAAATATCTGCAAGCATATTAAGGTAATGTTATGCTTTAGAAGAGTCAAAAACTTACATACAGCACCTTTGAAAGCTAATTAAGTATCAGGCAAGACATTGGACAACAGTAATTTGTTTTGTAGACAATTAAAAAATATATATATATTTGTTGCTATAATTAAATGAAATTTCTTCCCCATATTTGTAAAGGTCTCATGTGTATACCATATTTTTACATCCAAATATTGACAGGTTGTATGGTGGTGCATCAAAACAAAATAACAAGTATGAGGCGTTTCTTTAAAAATGGTGCTTTTATGCCAGGTGTTTTGCAGCCTGTTTGAACTTTAAAGTTCATATTATGTCATTATTTAATTTTGTATACTTGCAGGCCTATTTTAATAAAATAAAAAAAATATATATATAATAATCAAATATAAATCAAATGGTGGAAAATTAGACATATATATATATATATATATGTATGTATGTACTGTATGTATGTGTGTGTATATATATAAGTTGAAGTCAGAATTATTAGCCCCCCTGAAATTTAAGACCGCTTGTTTATTTTTTCCCTAATTTCTGTTCAACAAAGAGCAGATTTTTTTTCAGCACATTCCTAATCATAATAGTTTTAATAACTCATCTCTAATAACTGATTTCTTTTATCTTTGCCATGATGACAGTAAATAATATTTAACTAGAAATTTTTCAAGACACTATATATTTCTTTGCAGCTTAAAGTGACATTTAAAGGCTTAACTAGGTTAATTAGGTTAACTAGGCAGGTTAGGGTAATTAGGCAAGTTATTGTATAATGATGGTTTGTTCTGTAGCTTATCGAGATTGTAGCTTAACAATTCGAAGGCGGCTAATAATTCTGACTTCAACAGTATATATATATATATATACTTTTGTGAGGTAAAAAAATAAAAAAGAAATCTTCTTTCGACGAAACAGAATTAGGGGAGGAAAAGGGTTGCTAATATTCAGGAGGGCTAATAATTCTGACATCAACTGCATATATACAGTTATTTTCCACCCTGCAAAGGAAAGAGAAATAAATACAATAGAATAAAAATATGAAACAAACTGTGCTTTAAGCATCTTCACTGCAAGAAAAACACATTAGCAACAAAAGTCCAGAGCAGTGAGGGATTTTCTCACTTTGTTTAATTTATGATAAAAACAGGCGGCAGCAGGAATTGCGCGCTGTCGCTTTAATGGTTTCGCTTTCATGTTTCTTTTGATTCATAACTCGTTTGTTTATTACACAAATGAGGGTTAATATGAATAATCAATAAACACCGCGTTTTGACACCTATTTGACCATTAAAGCGCTCACGTTAAGATGAGATGTGTGGGCTCTGCTCGTCTCAGTGTGCGAATGAGACCGAATGCTTACCGCATGCTTCTGACTGTGTGAGCGCGCCACGCACACACAGAACCATGCGGTCTTTCGCGCTTTTAAGAGCAACGTGTACAACTGGAAAGGGGCAGTATATGATGCAAATAATCGTTTATCTTGATGAATGGTTTTTCATAATCGTTAGAAGCCAAAATCGAAATCGGATTTTCGATTAATTGCACAGCCCTAACCGGCAGCACGACTATCACGGCAGGGCATCTTCGCAGGCAACACAAAAATATCAGTTAAACCGACAAGTGTAACACAAACTATTCTCCCATCTTCATTTGGAATAAAACTTCCAAGTAACTCAACATGTGCAAAGGCAATTACAAGCGTGGTAGGAATACTTCAGAAAAAAACAAAACAAAAAGCGCTCTGGGGTAAGTTCAAATGTATGGTCGGTGCTCTTTGGGTAAGGGATTCATCAAATCTGCAACAAGAATCAGTCCAAGGCACTCGAGTAAAGTGAAAAAATTAAAAAGCCTTTATTCACATGGCTAGATCTCTAAAAACCAACGCGTTTCGGCAGAAGTCTGCCTTCATCAGGGTAACAGTGATTAGGTGCGTCTAGAGTCTTTTTTGAGTACTACGGTCACATGACTCATTTAAACATCTCAAATGGCACTCAAATAATTTAACAAGCAAACTCTACTACCATCATAAATTCGGCATAGATGCACAAACACCCACTTGCATATGTGGGAAAAGAGAGAGAGAGAAGAAAAAATTATATATATATATATATATATATATATATATATATATATATATATATATATATATATATATATATATATATATATATATATACTCTCTCTCTCTCTCTCTGTGTGTGTGTGTGTGTGTGTGTGTGTGTGTGTGTG